TTTTAAAGTAGATGTAATATTTTTCGTAAATATCCTTTGTTAGTACCGCGTGGGTCCAATAATGTTTGAGCGAGAGATGCATCCGTTTCAGGATTACATTGTAAGCAATGAGTGTCAGTAGAAAGGAATTATTCAGACGTTTTGTCAGCTTTTGTTAATCGCATTCCAGGTAGAGCAAAAAATTATGATGACGTCAAAATGACGAGGAAATTACTAAGAATATCATTTTTCAATCACGATTCGATCATTTTCTCATCTTGACATCATTGTGACCCTAACAAATCAAGATCTTCCAGAGGTTACCTGAGAACATTCTTAAGATGTAGAACATTCTTAGGATATCCTCTAAATATCTGTACTGTTAGGGGATTTTACTCAGAAAATTCAGTTGCAATCGTAACGCGATCTTTTAACAAATACTGTTCCGTTATTGTTGCAACAGCGAGGGTAACGATTATTTAGTCCCGACAGCAGCAACTGTTTTCAGAGATTTCAGAAATCTAATCTGGCCAGTCAAAAAATGAATCAGGGCCTGCATATTATCCATAAAAACACGCACACAGACAAAAGCACATGGATTCAATCAACTAGGTCGACTAAGAGATCGCGTAGAGACAAGTCGCCTGTCAATCCTTCTTACCCTTCAGAATAAATTGCTATTTAATTTTACGCATTTGATTGCGTAATTCCTAAGACAAAACCCGTAGACAAAACAGATTTTATCCACAAAATTGAGAAAAGATTAATTGACATTTTTGCAACACTACTCTGCCAGTTGAAACACTACTCTACTAATCGCAGTAAGAAAATTCATTTGTTCAATTATTCATTATTTGTGTGCAATTACAATCATGACGAGCTACGTTCCTATCGTCTACCATTTATCAAGATGTAACTTGCTTATTACATGTTCATCGCCTTTTCTATCTCCTTATCCGTCGGTCCTAATAAAAAGTACCCCTGACACTCATAAGTCATTCTGCGCAGCAGATAATCATATCGATACGTCTCTCTAAATTGGTTGAACAACATCTCCACGCTATGAATTGATTCTGAAATAAAAATACTCGATTAGAACATATTAATTACGGGCACGTGCGTACATATACCAACCGCTCAGATAAATGTTGCAGCACTTGGAATAACGAAACGACTTCTGGATTATCGTCGTAAAGTTCCCTGGCGATATCCAAGATTTCACTCTTGCGGTTGTCATGATGTTTTCTTTGCTGGCTAATATTTGGCCAATGACGAGCAACGAAATAACGAATATCGAGTTCGCTTTCATGATGTACTTTCACCACTACACTATCTCTGTGCCAGCTAGTATCTGCCTGTTTCCACTAACATCGATGAAATACTATCAAGAGATCTGTTACTTTTGGACTCTCGAAAAAATAGATTTATTTCAGAAATTTTTATCTAAAAAAATTCCGCAACGTATCGATTTATAACTTGGCATATTTATTATTTAAATGAAGGAATATTAAAAATATTATATAAATGAAGGAATATTAAAAGGAATATTAAAACTATAATGATTGCTCGAAAATATCGTACTAGAATTATGGGTTTTTTCGAAATCGAGTTATAAAAATATCAATTAAAAAGTGATCAATTTAAATCAGTTAAAATTTATTTGAACAAATATGTTTTAATTCAACAAAGTTGACGATTAATTGGAGCAAATTTAATAAAAGAATGTTTAATTGACGGTTGATTTCAACGAATTCAACTAATGACTATTCAATTGACGATTGATATGAGCGAAAAAATCAGAGATCGTTTAATTAACAGTTAAATTTAACAATTTTAATCATAAATCATTTTACTGACAATTAAACTTAATAGATCTATTTCAAGCAATAATTATAAACATAATATTTATGTGAAAGATAGCAAACTGCAGGAAACTTTTATTTTATTTGTATGACAAATTGATAGATTTAACTCTGAAAGTAAAAATGTAATCAAAGAATCCTGTGAACTCTAATTTATTTAGGAAACAATGTTTATAAATTTACACAAATTCTAAAGATGAACTAAAAATATTAATTTTTTTAAATAAGTTTTACAGTCAAGCATATATTCTTTAAATGGTATCTTTAAATTACATGTTATCTTCATAGATAATATCTCATACGTAGTTTACGTTTTATCTACGCGTAGATATAGAATATTACAATTTATATGTAAAGGATCAAGTTAGTTCTATATCTAATTTAGATTATCTACATCCCAGACAGATCAGAGAATGTCCTGGGGACGTTACGTTGTAGGAACATTTTTAGAATGTCCTTAAGATGTCCTGTGGAGATCTGTATTGTTTGGGATAACAAACAGCTGTATAGGGGAACCTGGGGTATAATGAAACTAGAGAGGCTTTAATCAGAGTGGCGCCATATGAAAACTTCCGCCATGTTTAAGCGAAATCCTGCGAGAGAGAAAGAGATATTTATGGTCTCAGTTTATTCAACAATATTGCTGTCAGCTTCAGTTATAAGGTTAGGTGCAACAGCAGGTGTAAATACATTTTATAATACAGTTAGGACCTATCCAGGTAAATTTGTATATTACATAACTATATTCATAAAGAATTAATATTATCTAATCGTATTTTACATGTATTCATATAATAAAAATGTGATTTGATAATTTTCTTCATGAATATGGTTATGCAGCAAATTTGTTTGGATCTCTTATAATATTTTTGTAGAAATATGGATGGATATACAATTCCATTTTGCAACAATTCATTTAAAAAGAGATATATTATAAAAAAATTTCCGAGAAACCCAAAACGTCGAATGGAATGGATAAAAAGTATCAATAGTAAATATAAAAATGGGACACCATCATAAAATTCATATTTATGTGAGGTAAAGTTATTATTTGTTTCATAAATATTTACAATGTCATAATAAAAAGTTAATGTAATACATAAAAATATGTTCTTATTAACATGTATAGTCAATTTTATTATGAATTTAATTCTTCGTTTTTTTATAATTTTTTCAATTATGTATTATTACATGTGAATCTAAATCAAATACTATAATAATCATGATATAATTTTTTAATTAACTTTTGTGTCATTATATAGGTACATTTTTCTCCTGAAATGTGGGAACAAAGAATAGACAATAAAAAAAAAATTAAAACCAAATGCATTGCCAACAATTTTTGAATACTTTCTGAAGGAAAAAATTGCTTTCAATAATCAAAGATCTGATGTTATTGAAGAAGAACATAGATTAGTACATCATAATTCCAATAGAAATCAAATTATAGTAAATGATAAGCAGGTAAAATCAATGATAAAATAAATAAAAAAATGAATAATAAAAAATATATTTAAATGTTTTAATAAATATATATTTTTAGATGGCTATAGATGAAACTGTTGAAGCTATAGATGAAACTGAACTTTCGACAAGCAATGAATTCTGTAATACATTATCAACAGAATGCATTTCAAATACAAATAAGATTGATGGAGGTAAAGAAAAAGATAAGAACATACATAACAAGGTATTAGAAGAAATAAATCGAAAAATGCAAATCCATTTAACTCTTTTGCGAAAAAAGATTAGAGTTTTAAGATCTAAAGCACAATCACTTGAAGATAAAATTAACAATGATAAGTATAAAAAGGCTTTAATGACAGTATTCAACAAGGATCAAATTAAAGCTTTATTGACAAAAAAACGAAAAACAAGAAATTGGTGTAATGAAACTATTCAACGTGCACTTAGATTGAGGTTTACATGTGGTAAAAATGGCTACAATGAAATTCTTCAACAAGGAATACCATTTCCAAGTTTGCGCACTTTACAACGAAGATTGGAAAATTTAAAATTTAGGAGTGGAGTTTCAGACGAAATGTTTGATTTTTTACAATTTAAAGTATCTTCATTTCAAAATGACATTGATAGAGAATGTGGACTTGTCATTGATGAAATGAGTATAACACCAAAACATGTTTATGACTGTTCAATAAAAACAATATTGGGAAATATAACATTTCCAAATCAAGAAGGTATAGCGACACATGCTTTAACATTTATACTGACAGATACTGCTAATCGATGGAAGCATATTGTCGGTTATTATACAGGCGATTCATTTGCTGGAGCAATTCTTAAAGATGTAATTTTTCAGATAGTACGTAAAGCTGAAATAATTGGTCTCCATGTCAATTATATAACTTCTGACATGGGTCCGGGAAATTGCAAAGTATGGAAATATTGTGGGATAAGTATAGGAAGAAATTGTAGTGTTAACAATTATATTCCTCATCCCTTTGATTCCAATCGATTTTTATATTTTATTGCAGATGTACCACATCTTCTAAAAAATTTAAAAGAATCATTAATTAACAACAAATTTTTTATCTTGCCAAAAGAATTTGTAAAAAAATATAAATTACCATGTAATAAAGTTGAAATTGCACATTTTAATGAATTAATTCAATCTCAGAAAGATTTGGAATTTTTACTAACACCTAAATTACAAATTGATGATGTTGTAACTACTAATACTTATAATAAAATGCGAGTGAATAAAGCAAGAAATGTTTTCTCTACCTATGTCAGTAGTTCATTAAAATTTTTAGCAAATGAAAACCATAAACCAGAATTTATTACTACGGCATGGTTTGTTAAACAAATATCTAAGTGGTTTTCATTAATGACTTCTAGATCATGTTGTACAGCACTAGGTATAAAAAATGAAGACGTATACAATGCTAGCATTTATTTTCTTCGTGAGATAATTGATCTTTTTACAACAATAAAAATAGGTAATAAAGAAATGTTTAAACCTATTCAAAGAGGTGTCATACTTTCAACAACCTCAATCATTAATTTAGTGGAATATCTTTTAAAACATCGCAATTTTCAGTTTATTTTGACTGGTCGTCTTACACAAGGCTGCATAGAAAATCTATTCTCACTTCTGCGATATAAAAATTCAATTTTAGATGCTTTGCAATTCAAAAATAATTTAAAACTTATTGCTATTACAATGTATACAAAATCAATATCAACAGGAAATTATGAGACTGATAATAGTGAATACCTTAATGGCTTTTTAGAATATTTAAAATATAAAGAAGAAGACGTACATTATTCTTCTAAATCATCTTCTGCAATCATAGATGAAATTCCTCCTTTTAATAATAATTCAATAATAGATTATGATAACAAAGATATAAATTGTTTATATAATATTGTTATTGTTTGAGATCTATTATAAAAACATGCACTTCATGCAATAATTGTAGAGAATCTGCTGGATCAAAAAGACCGTTAAACTTTAAATTTTCTGAACTTACGAGAATTAAATGTTACAATGCAAACACTTTATATTTTGTTAATAAACCAACGTTCGAAATGTTTTTACAATTAGAAAATATTTTTAGACATTATAGTCCTTATTTTTCAAAAATGCGTTATATAAATTTACATACATTTTTAGTAGATAAATTTAATTCTGTTCCCACAGATCATATTCTAGATTGTCATAATTTGCGTTTAAATTTATTTAAAAAATTTGCTACGGTGCGTTTAAAATTTAAAAATAAGCGTAGATTTCTATTACCAAATCGCAAATATTATGACAGTAAATCTATGGCAATGCATTACTCTTTTAAGTAAAATTAATTTTTTTTATTTTTCAAGTAATTAAGTTTTGTTTTCAATAATTAAGTTTTTTAAAGCATTTAAGTTTTATTTCAGATAATGCAATTTTTATTGTGCGCAATAACATTATTTAGATTGT